TAGTTCCAATGCCTCCTCCTCCAGGCAGCCTCTGACCTCCCCCATTCCTTCCGGCTGAATGTGCCCCTTCTGAACTCCTGCCTTGCTGGATGGCCCTTTATTTTGGTCTGGATCAGAGATGCCCACTGGCCCTAGCACCCATCTCAGCAGATGGCGACTGCGTTCTTCCCGTGATAAAGCCAGAAAGAAACTTGTTCCACTCTGTTCTCATATCGCACATCCAAGCTGTTGTCAAGCCCTGGCAGCTTATCCTCAGAACACCCCAAATCTGCCACTTTTCACGGCTTCTTCTCTGGTTCCCCCAATCCGAGCACCATTAACTCACACCCGTTTTACACCAGGAGCCTCCAGAGCAGTCTTTCTGCATCCGTTGTGCCCTTTTCTATTCTCATCCTGATTGATCTACTTAAAATATAAATTAGATCATGACACACATCCACACTCACCCCAGACCCTCCCATGGTAGACAAGTAGATTGATAGAAGAGACTAGTGTCCAGAAATAGACCCACATACATAGAGTCCATTGATTTTTGACAAAGACCCCAAGGCTATTCAATGAGGAAAGGGAAGTCTTTTTTAACAAATGGCCCTGAAACCGCTGAATACACATAAGGAAAAATTGAACTTGGACCCCCTACCTTGCGCACACAAAAAAATTAATTTGAAATAAATCAGAGACTTAAAATGTAAAAGCCAGCATCATGAAGCTTCTAGAGCAAAACAGAGAAATATCTTTGTGACATTGAGGTAGCAAGGATTTCCTATGGCGGTCATGGAAAGGGCGAAATGAACAATTGAAAACTGATAAATGGGATCTAATAAAAATTCGGATCTGCTCATAAGAAGGCATCTCTAGGGGCTGCCAGATAGCGTGGTGGTAGAGGCGCTGGACTCCCACATGGTTGACTGTGGTTTGAGTCCCAAACCTGGCGGCTTCCTTTCTCACTTTCCTGTGCTCTCTCTTTATCTCTTTGGTCAAATTTAAAATAATAATAATAATAATAAATAAAATTAAGTAAAATATATTTTTTTAAAATAAGGTACCTTTAAAAACCAGGAAAGCAGGTCAGCTAAGTGGTATAGTGGTTAAGGCACTCTGACTCTCACATGGCTGAGCACACGGTTCAAGTCCCAAGCCTGGCAGCTTGAGAAACACTCCGAGTGTGTGTGTGTGCCCAGAATCCTGAGAAGAGAATGGAGTTGAGGAGATAGTGGCATGGCCATCCCCCTGGGGGTGTTTTCTCATTTTCAGTCTCTGTCTGTCTCTCTTCAGTGAGCACATGCGCTCTACAGCAAATTACAAAAAAGAAGAAAAGAAGAAAAAAATGACAAGGCAAACTACAGCCCGAGAGAAAATGCTCTCAGTACGCACATCTAACAAAGCATTTGTATCTACAATGTGTAAAGGACGACTACACATCAATAATGCAAAGCAACCCTAGTTTTGGAAAAAGAAGATATGCTCAGACCGATAAACACATAAAAAGATGAGCAGTATTTGTCATTAGTAAAATGAATAACATCTCAATGAGCTATCATTGCATACTCATTAGACTGGTTAAATCTTTTTTCTTTCTTTCTTTCCTTTTTTTTTTTTTTTTTTTTTTTGGAGGGAGTTTTTTTTTTTTGGGTACTT